TTCTCGTTTACATGTGAATATTTTAACCAACAGCTGTATTTTGTTTTAATATTCTAAAAATGTCCTTCTTTGAAATGAAAACCAAGGGCAGACCTAGAAATATGTCACGACAACCCCAGATGTTTTAGGATGTTTACGTACGTTTCTCCTTTATTGGAGTCAACGTCGGGTGAAGGTTTCAAAAGCCTAGGTAAAATTGTGTCGTATTTCGTGTCTTTTTCCAGTGGAGAATGACTAAATTGAATACAATTTTAAAGTCCACGCTGAATTGTTCTTTCACATCTTATTATTTCATAAAATCTTAACTTGCATTATTCTTTTTTGTTAGATTGCGGTCCTCGTCGCGACGTGCTCTGTACAACAAATTCGATTTTTTTTTCTATGAGTAAATTGTCGACTTGTATGTTTCATTCCAACCAAAACAAATCCCTTTTCATTTTTTTTTGCACGACTGCAACAACTCTCGGAAAAAGGGGTTTGTTTTGGGCACAAACTGATCCGCTTTGTGAGCAGACTGGCTCCCGGTCCGTACATTATCGATACTGATTGTGGGGCGGCAACCAGCCTACCCCGCGAGAACTGAATAATTGTCTGGCAGCCAAAATGATTCGAAATTGTAAAATAATAATTCAAAATCTTAACATGGGCTGATTTGTTTCGGTGGATGTCTCATTCAAAAGTGACTAACGTTTGTATTGCTAGAAACATAGTACTTAAGAAAAAGGAATCATAACGATGTTTATCACATTACTATGACTCGCTGGGTATTCATTGGCGAACTCGTCTTTTCCAATGTTGGCGTCAAAAGGGAATTGTTTTCCCGTCGTAAACGGACATAAACCAGCTCTATATAGTCTAAAGACTGTTTCATTTGATTGTGAAATTGGCAAGATAAGTCAGCATTGCGAAATACTCTGTAGGGCCTAGACACGTGACTCATGTGAGCTTCCATTCCTATGATTTAACCTTCAAATAAATGTCCATTCTTCCAAACATGTGGACATGCCCCACCCTAACGCCATGATGCTGCATGGTTTTCGCGTGTGCGTGGTTGTTTAGTAATTAAACCCAACGGAACTCATGCAAAATCATGCATGCTTCAAATTAGTATAGATGATCATTAGTGTCAATTGTTGATCAGCATGTTTGTCAATAAACCACATTTCGTTCTGTCTAAAAAAGACCAAACGAATTCAGGAATGTTGTCGTACCGATCTGTGTATACCACGTGCAAAGCGTGGGCCACCGAGGCACGCCTTCACGGGCACCGCGTCGAAACGCGCCCAGCGACCCCGGCTAAACCGCAGCATTTCACGCTACTAAAAATAACTCACGTTGAGTTTTCCAATATCAGGAGATTTTCCATTTTGTTTTCCGTCATGGGTAAATTCTACAAGGTGTTCATTGCAATTTTGTTTAAAATGTAATTCCTGACCATTTGCTTTAGAAGCCTAGCAGCGGGAGCAGATGAGTTCTCCGGTTCAAATAGGCAATATTGCACCGTTGATGAAATTGATTATTCACTTGTTTACCTTTTATGAAACAATATTGAAAGGTCACACAGAGTCATGGTACATGGTCTGCATGGTTTTATTGGTCTTACCTTCAATGGCAATGGAGCTCCGCATCCGGTTGTGACCAGCAATCGCCAACGATTTGCCGACAACTAACAGCCCTTGCTCATCGCCAAGGCAATACGGAACCAACTGACGAAACGAAAGCAAACATGACGCGTTTTCTCCAGGAGTTTCGCACCGGAAAGCGGCAGCAATTTCTCCGTTCGATGGCTGCTTTCGCCGCAGCCATACTAATCAAGCCCAAACTTCTGACGACTGCAGAAAGACGTTTTTTAAGAGTGGCAACCCGTAGCCGGAAATATGGAGTAACAATTGTGATATTCATATTCTCTCGCTTTTGAAAAAATACTTCTGTGGAATGAATTGCCTCTAGCCGTTCTTGATTGTGAGTGATTACGTAGGCGTTGACCTCCCAGGTCACCTGAACGCGGCGGGAAACGAAAGGGGATTCCCCTGCTGAGTAATTCGTGACGTAGGAGCGCTCAGACCAATCAGCGAGCCGGTTGCATTTTGGGCGGGATTTCCACGTACACTGTACGTCGTCTGCGATTGGTCATTTGTACTCTATGCAAATTATCTACCTGGGGAAGCGATGAAGTAAAAAAAGACAATCCCTGGTTTTGGCGGTAAAAGAGATAGCTGGATATCCGGTCAATGGATTATGGTATTATGCTCCTGCGTATGCCAAGACGATTTACGTGTTAATATGCCAGATTCCTTGATCCGTAGGCAAACAAAATGGGGAAAACCACACCAATAAAAAATACATTAACATTTCTGATATCTTCAAAGACAAAAAAAATCATCAAAAAATTATATACCAATAGGCCTAGTAACTATTAAAAAACACACACATACACAAATGACAGTAAACAACAACAATATATAAGATAATAATAGTAAATGATATGTTTCTTTTTATTGTTTTGTTGGAAAATGTTGTAGCGTGTACAGTTTATTAGGCCTAAGAATGACATGAGGAATTGCCGTCCGTATAGCGAAGGATAAGCGACTTCCAAATTCATGTGTATTCCTATCCAATGCTGAGAACAAATTTCAGCCTTTTTTGTTCTTTCAAGTATGTAGTACAAACTTCAATCTGTTTTTATATTTTCCTGTTAAGTGTCACATTTGATGTTGATTTCCCCCCCCCCCCCTTGTAACAATTACTGACCGACTCCTATAAATAGAAGTAGGGAGACGAGAGGGCGTAGTTTTGATATGTAGGGTTCATTGACCCCCATTGTAATGCTACCAATAGATGGCGCCCTGTCCTTTTGATAGTCGGCTTATGGTTGCAGACCAGTAAAATATACTGCCATAAACGTAAACCCCAATGAAAAAATGCCCCACTTTAGAATTGAATTCAGGACAAAATACTCACAACTCTCCAAGGTATTCGAGACATACATGAAATTGAAGCTGATTCATCATCTTTTCCTGGGGTAATTCAATGACTGCTTGGGAGAAATTTCCATCCATAGATGATCACCCCTCAAAATAGTCCTGAAGCCCATTGTGAATTCCCATCATGATTTTGAAAAGTTTGAAAAATGAAACCTACGTATACGCTCCTGCAATGAACAAGACCTCCGTAAAATCAAGTAGTGGGAGGGGGCGGGGGACGGGGGGGGGGGGGCTGAACAACATCTTCCCAAGGGGGCCCTGTTCACTTTCCACAGACGTTAAAATAAAGGGATTTGGTGGTCAATGCGCATGGAAAAAGGGTGCCAAATTTCCAGTTGGGGGTGGGGTCGACTGGGGGGGGGGCGAATTTCGAATGGGGCGTGCACCCCAAGGCCCCCCCCCCCTCCCCCCCGTAGGCTAGCCGCTAGCAAAAGAGCACTTTATAAGGGCCCGATTTCATCAAAACTTCATACAAATACAAGCTCACAATCCTGTGCACGGCTTCCCCTTTTTTTTGATAAACCCTCAAATTCATGGCCCACAAAATGCTTTAACAGCAGAGAATGTCGTGATTTGGCCCGCGTTAGTAATTCTGGGGCATATCCACTGGTACGTACGTCTGCACTAGCAGGGTTCATTGACCTGCGCTGCAATGTTAAACCAATAGATGGCGCTCTGTCATTATAATAGTTGGTTTAATTTGATTCATAACTTCTGCAACACGAAAATTAGATCTAGACGGACATTATTGTATCACACTTTTGGAGGTACATACACGCATTTATAAAATTATTTCAATGTTGGTGTTCATTATTACAATATGAACAACAGGGGCGCAACTAGGGCTAGGCTGCTGGGGGGGGGGGGCAACTTGGGTGCATTTTTCAGGGGGGGGGGTACTGAGGGCAACGTTTTGTTTGTGCGCAATTCAAGATTTCAAATGGGGGGATCTGGGGCACGGTCCTCCGCTGCAGGGAAGGAGGAACTCCCCCCCCCCCCCCCGTAGTCACGCCAATGCTGCAGTTATTAAAGAGAATAAGGAACACAATACATATCAAAATGTTACGATATACACACGGATCCTAAATAACAATCAAGAAATATCTCGACAGGAATATCTCGCCCCTCACCTCACATCTCAACTAACAAAGATTGAAATTGTTTGCTGAATTAAAAATCGAAATGAGCCATAATAGATTGTTTCAGATTTTAATGTTTTATTGTAACACATTGGAAACTGCATACATCATGTACAGTGAAAGACGCCTTGATCTTGCGTGCTTTAAAAAAGTTTTTAAAATACACACTAAAACGTGACATGTGCTACATTATTAGGCCTATGAACAACGTCCTACACATTACCCCCTCCAAAAATAATATGCATAATTAATGGAAAAGGTCTCATAAGACAAATATTTTGGCCTCGTTTACAATAATCATTATCATTACGTATAATGATTAATATTCATGAGCTTGTATCAGGGGCGTAAATCGGGGGGGGGGGGGAGGTTATATGCCCCCTTTTTGACAAGGCCCCACTTTTTCGTGAGGAGAAACCAAAAATGCGGATTTCGAGGTATTTTGCGAAATTCCCAACAACCAAAATGTATGCAATAACACTGAAAAAAGGGGGGGGGGGGTACAAAAGCATAAAATGCGCCGTTTTGCTGAAAGCGCGATTATACATAAAGATGCACATCTGTATCCTGAACATTGCCCCCAGTTTAATGCGGTGTCCAGCCCCCCCCCCTCCCCCACACACTTTTCGGATTTGTCCGGCCGGGCTATTTTTGGTCATCCACAATTCCTCCCCCCTCCCCCCAAACACACACACACACACCCAAGTTTACGTTACATACCAAGTGTGGACTTTCCATTGCTTTCGTGTAGTTAAGAAAAACCAGTGAAAAAACTCATTTTTCTCAAACTGTGAAAACTCTTTCAACCCAATTTTTTTTCTATGATTCCCTTTAGTGTTTCTCTTCATTCTGTTACAGATAAACCTAACCCCAAAATGCCTCTAAACCTGTTTTCCAGAAATTGGGAAACACTGTGTGGACTTGCCCAAGTCCGCACAGTGTCTCCTCTACCTGGTTTATGTGGACATCTTTTGTTCGGAAGTCCACACAGGGAATGTAATGCCTGTACACCCACACACCCCCACACACACTCGACGGCACAGTCTTACTCCACTGGCTTATATTGCTTGTTGTGTAGTACGTCACTGATCTCTAAATCTACAAATCTTTGTGTGGCTAAAATTATTTCTAAATGCTTGGAAAGAAAATGGTCATGACTTGTGCTTATTTGTATACTTATTTTTTTGTTTTCGTAAAGTATAGTTTTTCAAGTTTTTATCGTTGCAAAGGAACCCTCCGACCGTACGGATTGGAGACAGACGCTGAGGGTGCTCTACTCTTTTTAAGCTGCCGAAAGACCAGCTTTTTCTTCATCTGTGCCGTCTCCTTATGGATTTCTAAGATCTGCATCCTGCGCGCGTGCTCCTCCTCCATCATCTGCATGCGACGCTTGAATTCCCAGCGGGCGTGGAGCTGTTGCTGCTTTTCCAACTTGGAGCGAGAGTTTGATTCCATCGTAGTAAGGCGTGTAGCGGTGGTATCAGTGACGGGAACATCCCGCCCCCAGTCGGAGTAAGATCCCAACATCTCGTCATCATCGGAGTCATCAAGAAAGTCTGATTCATCCTCATCATTATCCACGTCGTGTGTTGGTCTTGGGTCAGCCGACTCTCCCACGATCTCTGGAAACTCTCTTGCCCAGCTGCCGAAAGGAGAGAGAGAGAAAAAATGACACTTTTTCATCCGGCATATGCTCGAGATGTGAAGTTCTAAGGATCTGTTTCACTTTATGCTGTCTGAGAATAACATGGACAAGCATACTTAAGTTGCATTCGAACCAACGACCTTCCACCTAAAAGTGCAGACGTCTTTTACCCCTCGACCACCAAGCTAGCTGAAAACCTAATTCCAGCTGTCTCATGTGAATACTAATGCAGTAATTGGTAACGAATAAAACTCTGGTAACTTTGACACGATTTTCACCAAAAAAGTAAAGATAGGTTACTCATTCTTTTCTTCTCCCTTTTAACATGATGCAGGAAACGTATTCAATTATTTGAATTCAAATTCCAATTTTGAGACATTTAATAATTAGACTTGTCTTCGTACAATCCTCTTTTTCTTCGCTCGTGATTTTAAACGTAGTTGTAGGCTGTCGAAAGTGGCGAAATGACGATGCAACATTCTGTGTCGGTATCACACTTCTTGAAACTGATGTGAAGTTTCTTGTGACGCGAGGTGAATGATGAAATAGAGCACAGAAGTAACGACATCAGTGGAGAATCCACGATTATATTTTTTTGAAGAATTGTAGGGGTGAGCCGTCCGTCGAGGATTGTTAGGATAGCAGTGCATTCATGCAAGATTTATAAATAAAATCGATTAATGTACAAAGAAGAAAAGAACAATATAAAGACTTCTCAATATTGTTTGATGTTTCCTTTTTTGCCCAGTACAGGTAAAAACCAATCTTAAACTTAAGACTGAAATGTGCTGGTCTGCCACCCAACCACTGCCACTCACCTGGGCAATGTAGAGTTACTGGACGAGGCGTGTCCGTTAATAGAATCCACTCTGATAACCTGCTGGCTCATGGACTGACACGGTGGTGAGTGGACATCACTGAGCTGGATGGATGGCAAAGTAACCATAGTAACGCCAGACTCATCCTCATCCAACAATTCCACACTCTCCTGTTTCACCTGTGGCGTTTCCATGGCATCGGGGATGTCATCCTCCTTAAGCTTCGTCTCATGGGCTGTGTCTACGATGCCTTGCTCTGGGTGGAAGTCGGGCTGTGGGTCTGGCGAAGAGAGTTGACTTTGAGGATGCAAGTCAGCATCTTGGAGATCACGTTGGAGATCATCGTCAGCTGTTCGCAGATAGCTCCTCACGGTCCTCACTCTATGTCCGTGATTAGTCCGCTCAATAGCAGCCATCATCCCGTTGATATACTGCGCCAACTCGTTCGGCTTCCTAGTGCTATACCGCACCTTCCCGTTCACCTCCACTCGCGTCTCTAGATAAACATCCAACTCGTGCCTAGCCCAGTACTTCATGCGTCTCCATTGTTCTCGTATCCGCTGTATGCTCCGACTAACCCTACCGGCTCGGCTGCCTATCTTAGCGGTGAATTCAGCGTGAATCTCCCGCCAAGCCTGCTTCCGTCGCTGCACGGCGTCCGTGTCGGCTGCCTTGTCCTCAATCACAGCTAAACGTTGCTGCACCAAACGGACGAGGACAAATTTCTCCGTCTGTTCCCAGTTCTGCGACCGTTCTCTCTTGGTGTGTTGGCCGTTCAGTGTCCTCATCATCTCGATGTCATGCGGTTGGCGTCCGTTAGTGTACAACCAACCATCAATGTTGTCTTTGCCAGACGAAAGATTCAGAGTTGTACCACTTGCGGCCATTTTTCTCCTCTATCTTGCAGTGCACTTAAGAGCGCTACTACATGTACATTCATGGACAGTACAGCCATACACGCATAATTTGCAGCACTACAGTGTGCCGTACGTATGCCTAATGCTCTAAATCATCGCTAACCACGACTACGTACTCCGCCATGGTGAGTCATCCGTGTATAGTTAGTCACGGTGGATATACATGTAGACGCGATTCAAGTCGTGGCTGCCTGCTACTTGCCCAAACAATAATATTATGGGAAGTGACTTGCGTTTAATAATGTTTCCATCAGAGTCACTGGCATACACGCGTTGTCACGGTTCTTCAGCGACGACTAGCTAAGTGATGATATGTATTGACATAACATTTTTATCATCCTTGTGGCTAGTTTTTTTTTTCGTCGTACAGGAAGTTTTAGTGTCAGTATAGGCCTTAACTGTTTTTTTAGGTTGACGTATTATTTTATATTCTGGTCACTTTGGGGTTTTCCGACTAACAATATCTTATGTTCCCGTCTTGCTTTGTTTCAGTGAATGTCATGTCGATTTTTGCCGTAGTAAGTTGACGATCCTTACGTACTGAAATTCAAATCTCCCCCTTATTAATATCTGCCCCTTATTAATAATACAATTCTATATTTTAACAACTATCAATCGGTCAATTTGTTGTGCAGCCAATTCTGTTTCAATCTTTCAAATTTCTTGAAGCCATCCACTTTTTTCGATATCCAAATACTCCTGAAAATGAGACTAGTTAATCTAAACGTCATATGTGAGTGAACAACCGCCCGCGATCCTCTGCCTTACACTGAGCGACACAATGGGCAGAATGAAGACCCTAAACGGATCTTCAAGTAGGCAAGTGATTACATAAGACATCCTTAAAGATGATCATCCACCTGCTGTTTTCGAGTTTCACATCAAAAAATAGATTAGGTTTTTTTTCTTCAATTGCTATTTTTCTCAGCATTATAAAAGCTATTCACTTTTGAATGAGATGTTAAAAAATAATTTTAAAAAAATCACCGACGTTATTGAATTATCACAACTTTTTCGTTAAAATAAAACTTATCTTCAAATTGAACATTTGTTAGGAGGGAAAAATGTTTTTGAAGAGAAAAGTGTGGGCCTTTGCATCTTGAAGGACATATCAGAATTGTGACATGCGTCATTCAACTGTTAACTTTCTATTCAGTGTAGAATCTCATCCCCTGAAAATAATCCAGCATGAAGAAAGGATTTGAAAATGATCAAAATGCGAACAAAAGTAGCCTAAATCCTGCATGTATTTTGTTATTATTGATAGGCATATACAGCTGCCGTAATATAAAAACCGACTAAAACCCCCAAATGGTAAGCCGACTTTAAGCTCTTATACGTAGGAACCTTTGCTTTATGTGCATGTTTTTCGCAAAATCTTAAATATGGTGTATAACAAATTAGTTGATGGAGTTTCGGCACAATAGCTAAAGTACAGTACATTTTGAAGAAAAAAAAACAGGTACATTTTTTAGGGTCTCGTACTGCATGGTTTCCGTTGCTAATTGACGATGTAAGTTTAGGCGAAATAATTTCACAAGGTATTATGATATCTGTTTTATCTTCACTTGAAGTTTGAGAAAGGCTTCTGTCAGTAGGTAATTGTCTGAGTACATGCAATTTCAAATGATCGTTCGTGGTTTTAAGAGGCTGTCTCGATAACATTGAGCAAATTTAACGCGGAACAGCGCAGTTAGTGCACCAAGCCAACCTCCAATTTAGGAATTGTCAGGTGGCTTATGGTCGGAATCGTGACCGACTGGTCCAAAGCACCAAACTTGGCAAATAGATTCTCATATCCGTAGAGAAGATATGTAGAAGGGTGACACCTGAAATTCTTTTAGGAAGGGTGCTTAATTGGCACATAATTATAAATAGTCGCCTTGTGATATCAACTGTCCTCATAATTATCCTGTTACTTGTGTGTTTAAGAAATTAAGGGTATGTAAGTAGAATTCCCAAAATAGACTATATACAAATAAAAATACCAAAAATATGGGAATAATTCAATTAAACGGCAGCTATTTATGATTATGCAAATTAGGCACTCTTCCGAAAATGATTCCTGGTGTCACCCCCTCTAAATATTTTCTCTAGGGATATAAGAATCTATCTGCCAAGTCATTGGTGCTTTTGACCAGTCTGTTACGATCTTGTCAAATATTGGATTTAAGCCACTTAACTAGAAAGGAGAAAGAAATTAAATTTAAAAAGGAAAAGGTCTAATTCAATAATTAATGTTATTATTTAGTGGTTTTTCTTTCATTATACATGTTTGCATAATGAACAGCGCCGAATGATGACCGGTCCCCAACCCAATTTTATAAACAAACTTTGAAATTATACTCTTACATAGGCCTATGTCAGAGACCTATAGCGTGACCAAAAAAAACCACCCAATTAACACAGATTTAATCGGGTTGGATTTGAACCCACTTCCTCCTGGTACATTCTATTTTGTCTCCACTTGTGCAGGGTGAGTCAAAAAGAAAGAGACCGAGTTAGAAAAGAAATATTTTAAAATGTGACTCGCTCCATTTAAATGTATTAAAAAATGGGTTAAAGTTCTACAAGTTATTGACTATAGTACGTGTACAATTTATTTCATGTAATTTGCACACTAATTACAAGTTATCTCTAGTTTAAAAGAATTACCACAAAATTCAGCTGTCCACCACTGATCGTTGGCCGATTCGCATTGATGAACTATGCATGGATTTTTTTCCTACATCCATGAATGAATGAAAACTCGCAAAGGAAAACAGACAAAATCACCATCATCATTTAAAAAAAAACTTGATTTGTTCCTTACTAACAAAACACAAATTATGACAGTAAAAAAGTCTTAACTCAAATTATTACAATCTCATTTAATATTTGAATGTCTGTGTGTTGTCTCCAGTTCTCACTAAACTTCATGAACATCTTCAAAGTATAAAAGGGCATATATGCAATGTAATTTGTTTGTTGTAATCCTTGAAAATGCACCTTTGTGTCTCCTTTTATTCCTATTTCCAATTTTCGATTGGCCATTTTCAAGGGTATTTTGGTGCCTTTGAGATTTTATGCTATTGGAATTTTCCATATTCGTCAGCAAAACTGTGATGTCATTTCAGGCAGAAACATCAATGTTACAACTAGTTTCAGCACCAAAAGTTGCCAGAATTTTTGATATTTCACTCTTTAGTGATTCGTTGTTGTGCCAGAACATGGCAGCCACCAATGAGCAAACTTTTCTCACAAACGTTGTCAATGAACACATTGTTGGATTCACAATTTGAACAGAAACACCTAAAATAATATCAATATCTTCCTGAAATGACAGCACAAAGTAACACCTAAAATAAACGGTGTCTTCCTGAAATGACATCACCAAGTAACACCTAAAATAAACAGTGTCTTTCTGAAATGACATCACCAAGTAACACCTAAAATAAACAGTGTCTTTCTGAAATGACATCACCAAGTGACACCTAAAATAAACAGTGTCTTCCTGAAATGGCATCACAAAGTAACACCTAAAATAAACGGTATCTTTCTGAAATGACATCACAAAGTAACACCTAAAATAAACAGTGTCTTTCTGAAATGACATCACAAAGTAACAGCGCCCTTAGTTGTCCAGGAAAAGCATGGAAAAGTTTAAATGTTTAAAGAAGTGCACTTTTCAATACAACCCCCCCCCCCCCCCCCCAAAAGGATGTCAAATAGTATTCATACATTTTAAGATTTAAATCGGCCCATATGAAGATTTAACTCGGCCCATGTTTAAAAAAAAAATGGGCTTTATGAATTAAAAAAAAAAACACGTTGAATTATTTGAAAACTTCGTTTCCCACAAAAAGGGGGGGGGGGGGGTGGTTTCGTTTTTCATAGGTTCACAGACGTACAAGATAGGGAAAATGATGTAGTATTTTCGTTATAATAAAAAGTTGAAAAATCATTGGAAAAAAGAAAGTGGAATCCATTGAAGATCGCGGACAGTATATTGTTTGAGCTTGAAAACGTGAATTTTAGCAGGAGTTTGCGTCATGTTATGATTAAATCGACACAGAGGATACAGGCCTCACTCCGTATGATGCCATACCCGGTCCCCCCCCCCCCCCGGGCCCCCGAAAGTTTCTCTTCGCTCTCCGATGCTCTCGAAAATCTTCTCCTTCACGAACAAGTCTTATGAAATTTGTTTTTTCATAATTGTTGGGTAATCCACACACACTTAGGCATATATAACACGATCCACTCCATCAGACAAAAATGGTGAACGACGAAGGTTTGATGTCCAGAACACGCCGCTAGCATCCATGTTCCATATCGGACACAGTAGTTATTCATCCACGGCGCGCTAACGCCATGTGCATGTGCTGTACGTGGTGCATTGGGGTCTGTGTGTACATTATCTTTGCACGGTCGCCATTGCTTGTTGAAGCAGGACGTCACACACGAGGTATTATGGGATGTTATTAGCTAGACGGCCTAGCCTCACACACACACCGTATACCTGAATACTGACTAAAGCCACAGCTGCTGCTAGCTGCGTGTAAGGTCATTATAACTGTTGGCTGTGCTGGTCATAATGGTGCGCTGCATTGTGAAATAATACGGCGAAAAAACTGCAGTAACACACGCACGGCCATCGCCTACAACCCACTCAAATATTAGCAGTTGTTTACAATGGATAGCCGATAACTGAATTGTCGCCATGCTTTCTCTCTTTTCCTGACCGTGTGTTTATGGTTTTTATTAAGTGACCGAGGAGTCCAACTCCCGAAGGTGTACTACACCGAGCCACGCTGTAGGCCAGGCCATGCTTTCCCGGCGAATGTTTTGATGAAACTCGGTCCCGCACCATGGAGCTTAAAGATCTGGGAGAACAGGTTTATGCCGCCGAGGAACTCCGTGATCGCAGAATTCGTAAGGTGAGTGGTCATGTTGAATTCCCCCGTCAATCCCTGGACGAAAACTGCACTCCAGACTCATTTTTCCAATTTAATTTCCACGTTTTGCAGGGCAAGGCTGAATACTTGGTGAAATGGAAAGGCTGGGCGAATAAGTGAGTATCGAAAATCCCGCTTCATGCACTCGAGTTTTTACTATAATTTGCTGTCGAATTTAACCCGTGATTTTGCCACTATCATGTTGACTGATTGTCGTATTGATGATGTTCGTTTATTTCTGATTGTAGATACAATACTTGGGAACCTGAGGACAATATTCTGGACAGGAGGTTGGTTGAGTTTTTCAACCGGAGGTAAGCATAAAATACACCTCGCAAGCAAACATGGCGATGTTAAACATTCGTTATGCAGCTGTTTTCACACAGCTTGTCTTTATTACTAATACCACAAGTTGCAACCATTTAAATATCCGGCTTTTCTGTTCTCCGCTCACTTTTCCAGCAGGCACAACAGCGATCCAGGAACCTCAAGTAGCGGCAAAACACCGGCAAAACGTGGAAGGAAAAAGGTAGGTCCAATACGCCATTTTGAAGTCAGAATTATGGGCGTGAAATTGCTTGCGCAATTTCTGTGGAGTTTTTCTGTTTACGGCTGAACGGCGGGAGGTTTCGGAAAGCGGGTTTTTTGGTAGCTTGGAGTAATGTCTTAGCTTTTTGTCTACCAACAGTCATCAGTGGGTGCCGAGGCTCACGGGAAATCAGAACTTGAATCGGAGCAGGGTCCCCGACAACCCAAGCAGGCAAGACGCGATGTTCCGAGCGATATCACCAAGCCCCCAGCGGGGAAGAAAGACCTACCGGTACCCACAGAAACCGACGAAAACTCCAACACCAAAATCACAGAAGTGGAGAAATTACCTGGCCTTTTGGAATCCAAGCTGAAAGATAAGAAAGTTTTAAGCAAAGTGGACAAGACCAACGCCACCCGGAGGAAGAGCAGCGAATCGTCAGAGATTGTCCAACGTAAGACAGGCAAGAAGAGTCCCACAGTGACACTGGTTCGAGATGGTCTTCTGACCTTACCCATCCCAACCACAGCAACATCACCCAAGAGTGCTATTAAGGTGAAATCGCCTGTCACAGCCTCGCCACCAGTCAAGAAGAAAAGGAAGCTGGTCAAACCCGTAGAAACGCCCAAGAAGGAACCCCAAATTGTCGATACAGAAACTCCAATCCGTAAAGATAAACCCTCTCCCGGGCCCGATCTTGCCAAGGTTTCCCCGACCCTGAAGCCGTTCCCTGAGGACCAGCCTGAAGTGGTGCTGTGCCCTCTAGAGCTGGAGAAGTCCAGGATCAAGAACCACAAACAAAAGTCCATGAAGCAGTCGCCATGGAAACCGCGCCATCTTCCCGCCTCCGAGGTGTTGGTGACGGATGTGACGTCACAGGACGTCACTGTGACGGTTCGGGAGTGCACATCCATGAAGGGTTTCTTCAAGAATTGTAACAGAGACAGTAATGGGGAGAGTGAGAGAGAGGACACGCCCCCTCCGAAGGAACTCAAGGAAGACAAAACGGAAAGTTTGAGTGAAGCAACCGAACCGATCCAAGTTGAATCGAAGCTTCCGCAAGAAGATGTAATGTAAAATATACCATATTATTGATGAGAAAAAAATATATTGTTTGTGGCGCAAAATGAAATGTCTAAAAAAAAAAAAAGCTGTCAAAAATAAATGATTCTCTGAATTTAATCATCATAAGAGGGATTAACATCAAATTGAAGGAATCACAAACACCTGATTTTCAAATAATATGAATTAATATTCATATACATATAGTATAAGATGTAAAGTGATTTTGAGCATTAATGTTGTCAGTGACATATCAAAAGTGGCAGTCTACAAATCAGGTCTCATACTGCTAAAAACTAAAAATGTTTCTATTAAATTGTAGAACATTAAATATAGGTCGAATTATTAATATGTTTCTCAGAAAGGTGTTTAAGAGCTCTATGTAATATTAAATGCGTATGTAGCCTCTAAGCTTATGATAAAACACAATCAAAACGTTGGAAGAATTGCAGTGCAAAAAATGCCAAAGCTTTGCTCGGAAAGACTAACTAAATGAAAACTCCAAAGTGCTTGGGGAATTTCCTTTTTTTGTCCAAATTTGCTTGATAATGTCATAGCTCATTATACTACATTAATATCAACTTTGATGACACAACAAGTATCCACAAAGTGTGGAGAAAAACTAATTTAAAGAATAAAGCTCAGCACAAGCACCCCCCACCCCTTCGAGCGCTCGAAAAACTGGGTTTTTTAAAGTTCTTTTTTACTAATACACTGTACATACGTATGGTAGGTATTTCTTTTTGTCTATACGTAAGTGCAAATTTATCGTAATGATTATGTTTCTAAATTCATGACACATGAAACATGGAAATGAATGCGATTTACGGAGAAATCGTTGAGTACGAAATAAATATATAAGGCCAGTACAAATAGCAATGGAAATTGTAAACGAGCTATATATTCAACTAAAAATATTTGATCATTTTTATCTGTTTCGGAAATCTAAAACACGAAACATGGCGGATTAGATTAAACTGTCGAAGAACTTAACCACGGCATGTACACGATGAGTCATTATCTTTTCTGGAATATCATTGTTAGATTTTTTTGGGATATCAAAACAAAGTAAACTTATTGTTGTTGCAATTGTGTAATTGCTTCAACAAATGTCCAGATATTTCGATATTTCGGAACTTTTGTGAAAGTTAAGCTGTTGTTGATGTATGAAGTATTTATCCATTTCTTATAAAGTATATGAAATCACGTTATATAGATGTTCGTTTTGTTTTACTTTTATATTGCATGAAGACGGTGAAAGATGAACCTTGATGGTATTTCGGTCGGGTTTTTTTTTTCAATTGGGTTGAAAGGTGGTCCAGCTCAACTTCCCAAGTTCGAATGTAGACCAGGGTTGGAACTAGCTGATGTTGCATTTTAATCGTTTACGTTTTGTACAAGTATGCTGTAAAAACGGTGCTTACAGTGTTTAAACACTTTTTGTACCCACTTTTTTCGCATGTTTAGGATTTTTGCACAGTATGAAAGCCTGATAGCGCCATCAGTAATAACTTATTTTAAAAAAAAAGGAAAATGTTATATTTTAAAATGTGTTTTTCTGCTACAGGTGATACTTTGCCTGTCAATTAACTTCAATCCGATAAGTCATTTTATTTACTTTTTATGGTACAATTGGGCTTTCGCACGATGCCTAAACATGTCACAGATTCAAATATACGGATGCAATTAAGACATGTGTTTGAACTTGGAGTGTTTAGAACACAGTATACAGAAAAAAAAGTTGGAATGCGAGTTCTGGCAAAACTAATATACGAAAAGTACTGAGCAACAACGTTTCCCGAAAGGGACCTTTTCATACAAATAATTCGCATATTCTCAAATTGATATTCCAAGGGAAACTCGGGAATTTTTTTAAAAAGTTATTAAACATTGAAATCAGTCATTAAGTTCGCTCACATAAATACGATTGTCCGTATAACGTTAAGGAACGTGCAGTTGGGATGTGAGGTGTAGTTGTTTGTATTACTACACTCAATAAGAAGTCCATGATCAGATTGACCAGAATCCGGGTTCTATAGGGCCTGACACTTCTCCGGGTCAAATTGACACTTCTTTGACTCATTTTCCGGGTCATTTTGACCTGGATAGACGTGCCATTTTTACCCTGAAGAGTTTCATTTTGACCCGGAAAAGTGTCATTTTGACCTGGAAATGTGTCATTGTGACACGTACAAGTGTCATTTTGACTTAGGAGAGTGTCATTTGATCCGGAAAATGTCAGTTTGACCCGGACAAGTGTCATTTTGACACGGAAAAGTGGCAGGCCAAATAGAACCCGGATTCCAGGTCCATTCTGGAGTGCACGCTGGTTATATTTTCACTAGTAGGACAGTGTGATGTAACGAATGGTTGTTGGAATTGATCCAAACCCATGTATGATTTTGAACTTGTCCATTGTTATATTCAAACTTCAATATTTTCCCCCATTTTGTTTTGGACGTTTTCAACCCTCTGAAAACACGCTTTTACATTGGGCCGCTTTTTCGCCCATTATAAATCACACAAGACACGCGGGAATTAATGTGGGGCACAATTAATTCGAAAAATGTACAGTAAATATTCAACATAGCTCAAAGTGATTCTCTTTCGTATTGCTATAGAAAAATAGCAACTATTTAAAAAAAATTCTACAGGGTGGTCCAAAAAACGTTTACACTTTTGCAGACGCAGATTTCCTGGAATTGGGGAGACATGTTAAAATGTTTTCAAGATATTCCTAAACTACAGCAGCTTCCTGGTATTATGGTGAAAACGGCGCTGAGAATAAAGCCTATATGGTGATGGCTTAAAGAAAGATGGTCAAACACCAGTTTGTCCACATGCAAGTCTGTGAGATAATCAACACAATAACACTGCAAGCACAAAGAACTGCAATAATGACTGCCATATACGTGAACAAACTAGTTGTTGACCATTGTTAAAATGGGCGCTATTTTTAACGCCGATTTCACCATACGACGAAGATCCTGTAGTTTAGGAATATCTTAAAACAAGTTCAACATGTCTCATCAATTTTAAGAAATCTGCCTCTGAAAAAAGTGTAGCCACGCTGTATTTTCTCGGTGTAAAACTTTAATATCACGGGGAGAGCAACTGGAATATTATATACGGGGAGTAACATGAAGGATGTGTAGGATTTTCTCAATTTGATTTCTTGATTTGATTTCGTCCTGATTAAACAGCAATCCATAACGTATCAAACAATAGGCCTACTTTAACTTTTCTTTGAGAAGTTGCGGTTTATATTTTGCAGCAACTCCAAATTTTACTACGTTTCAAAGTATTATGCTTAGTTTTTTATTCGTTTTTACTTATTTATTGGTAATGACATCAAAATGATTGGTATAATTATGAGGAAGTGTGTTCCTGGGCGAACGAAAAAACGGTGATTTTCTTTATTTTGACTAATTGCATCTTAATCAGCCAAATGTGATAGGGATTATTGGCAAAATTGAATTGTTATGTCTGTGTTGTATGATTGTAATATGGTGTTTCCCATGTAAAAGTGCAGTTATAAGGACCTAAAATATACGTTTGGAACTTGTATTTCAGTATACTTCGTACAACAATTTTTTTAAAATGTACAACATTTTGATACAAGTTTCCATTTTTAACTGGTAATTTTCATCCATGCCTCATTGGGTTGTTAGCCACATCTGCTCTAGCGTGACACTTAGCCTTATCATGCATAACATGACGGCATATAACAAAATAATAATATTGTCCAGTTCAGTGATTAAAACGGTGTTCTTAATTAATATTCTTAATTACTCTCAACTTGCCAATATAAAGTTATTGGAAATAGTTTGATATCAGTGAAGAAAAGTGTAATTTGATTTGATTTAAGTGTGTGGTGGAAAGGGTGTTTGAATAGGGGCGGAGCCTACCATACGTCTCGCCTCCTTTATCAATGTTGTAGTAGAATGTTTCCGCAATTTATGTTCGAAACGTCATGTTACAACAAATGCATTGAATTTTATGAAAGCGATCAGACCGGATGAAGGGAACATTATGTGAGGTATTTTGGCAAAATGAGACGGAACTGACACAGGCTGTAGTGGAGAAAAATGCAAGAAATGTATAGGGGTGATTTTTTTTTTCGATTTTCAGATTTATTCATATTGTTGTCTTTGATATGTCTGCTACCTATATATTAAAAATGTAATATAAAAATCGTGGTATAAAATTGTTTCTATATGGGAAAAACAATTGGCATCTTTCACGAATACAAATATTTTGACGAAAAAAAAACTCGTAACATTAATAGCCTTTTTCTCAGTATTTTTTTTATTGCCGTTGATATATGCAAATTTTAAACTGCCATAACTTGTCAAGGAAGTGCAACAAACAGTATTGTAAGGAGAATTTTACTCTTGTTTCTTAATACCTATACAAACCCTTATTTCGACATGTGCCAATTTCTGTCTCATTTTGCCAGCATGCCTCGCATAAGCTTCTATAGTGTTGGCATGTAAATGATGATTGAGGAAACGATTACAGATGGACATATTGAAGATGTAGAGAGGAATCGCATTTGGCCTATAATGCGTGATGGAGCGATTGTCTCCGAAATACCTTGAATTTCTCGCCCCAAGCTTTAGCCTTTAATTATAAATGTATACGGTTAAGAATAAATTTCAGCCATGTGCGCTAAATGCATATAGTAAGATAATTGAATTATATCCGTAAAAAAAATAAGAAATGCGTAAAGCCCGGTTCATACTCGGCGCGAAAGCGAAAGCGAACGCGAATTTGTGACGTCGTGGCAAGTATTCGCGCTGCGAATTCGTAAAAGTTGAACATATTTCAACTCGGGCGAATTTCGCAGCGAATGTTTTATGACGTCAAATTCGCTTCGCATTCGCATGAAGTATGAACCGGGCTTTATACTTACTGTCTAAAGTTTGTTGCGAACTTTAAATTTTGTAATTGTAGTTCGTGTGTTGTAAACATGTACTGCATTATAGTGCTGTAATTTGTGGTTGCAATAATTCTCTAAAAAGGTTGTAAGTTATCCGACGGGAATACGGGAGTGAAAGGAAGAGTGACTTTGCGTCTCCCGTCATAAAAATTGGGCAAGAAATGGATGGAAACCTGGTAAAATAGAACTTGAAAATTAAAATTGTAATATTTCAGACATCTTCGTCTACAGCTTCAAAGATGACATCTTTAAGTATAGTTTCAACAAAAATGTTCATAAAGGGTATACCATTATACTACATGTATGTTGTAAATCTAAACATATGGAGGAAAACAGTTTTGTAAAGTCTGCGATGAGTTCCGATGGGTCACAGATAACACGCGATTGTCGGTTTGTAAAATGTTGTGACAATTGACAAGTCAATGTATACATCTTGGGAGTGTATTATGATTGAATGGAAATATGCAAATTGGATGACGACTGAAAGACGAGAAAAAAAATAATTCGTATATTTTTGAAGTTCTGTGAAACCGAATGAAAATAATGTACAGAAACAGGGAAAGTTATCTACAATAAAAGCAACATACGCCTATTGAATTATTACGTATATTAAGATGGAAATGTTATACAATTTACTGCTGTTAATTCGAATTAATAAAAGGCGATAATTAGCCGAATGTGCGATTAAATGATAAAGGTATACACAGATGATTTTGTGCGTGCGAATTCTGGCTTAGGCCTACGTAAAGTACGCTTCAAACGTTACATAAGCATGGACCCAAATTTGAATTAGACACGGCAGAAAGAAAGTCGACGTTTGAAGCAACAGCTGGCTTTAGCCGAAGGTTCGACATGTCTTGCCGCAAACGGCCAATTTATAACGTTTCAAAATTCCATTGACATGTTCCAAATCGGAATCGCAGTGGTACGCCTGCCGGCTGTATAGGTTTCGGCGTAAAAACAAAATGGCGGCGTCCATGGACATGTTTCGAACATTGCCCTGGAAACCCGGAACGCCATTTTGAATCCCTTCTCCGATTTTGTATTAAGCATCACATCCAGCCAACCTGTACATTCTTGACTATAAACGCCGACAGGATCGGGATGTTGTGACATTTGCCAGCAGGATTAATGAACAAACAATGTTCAAGTCACCTCCAATAAAATTGACTGTTAAAGGAGAGAGCGCCTCCTTGTCGCATAAATAATTTGTCGCAGTATCATAATCTTCTGTCTTGGTCCGCCATCTTGAACGACCGAATTAAGTTCAACCGAAAATCGACGTTTGAAGCAACTGCCGAACTTCTGCCCTTGTTTTTGTCGACTGTAATGAATTTAGACACGGCAGAAGTTCGACGTTTGAAGCGGGCCTTTGTCTATCGAGTTGCCTTGAGATCTCCAAGCTAGCTGGAGACTGTTATAAGTAGCATCTCAAGGACACGAAAAAGTCTGCAAGCAACTATATGCACCAATAAAACGACCACAATAGAAAGGCCAAGTTGCAACATGTGTCAATTTGTAATTTGTGTCCAGAAATTGATTTGAGCCAGGATTACTGTCTAAACTTTACGAAATTTCTATACATCTGGAACGCCCTCTGTTGATCTCAGATAAACACCATCTGTCTAAGTAAGATTTGAGGCTTTGCATGATGGAGATACTAAATAATGAAAGGTTTGCGGAAATACCATGTGCAAATGATTTCTCAACTAAGAGAATGGTATAAACTCGACGTTCCGGTCAGTATGCTCTGACCGTCTTCAGGAGAATGCCTAAACTCTAAGAAGGAAAACACTTATGTAGCAGAAGCGAAAGCGATGAAGTGTGAAGTTGCATCCTGTGTGGATGCCAAGTAGCTGGGATCCTAGAGCAAGCTTACTGCCCACTGAAGTGGAACAGTAGGGTGGCAGTCTCAATAGAGGGAGGACCTAGGGTATAGGAGACCCATCAGTCTAAGGTGAAGGTTAAGGACCTAGGGTATAGGAGACCCATCAGTCTAAGGTGATGGTTAATGACCTAGGGTATAGGAGACCCATCAGTCTAAGGTGATGGTTAATGACCTAGGGTATAGGAGACCCATCAGTCTAAGGTGAAGGTTAAGGACCTAGGGTATAGGAGACCCATCAGTCTAAGGTGGAGGTTAAGGACCTAGGGTATAGGAGACCCATCAGTCTAAGGTGAAGGTTAAGGACCTAGGGTATAGGAGACCCATCAGTCTAAGGTGGAGGTTAAGGACCTAGGGTATAGGAGACCCATCAGTCTAAGGTGAAGGTTAAGGACCTAGGGTATAGGAGACCCATCAGTCTAAGGTGAAGGTTAAGGACCTAGGGTATAGGAGACCCATCAGTCTAAGGTGAAGGTTAAGGACATAGGGTATAGGAGACCCATCAGTCTAAGGTGAAGGTTAAGGACCTAGGGTATAGGAGACCCATCAGTCTAAGATGAATGTTAATGACCTAGGGTATAGGAGACCCATCAGTCTAAGGTGAAGGTTAAGGACCTAGGGTATAGGAGACCCATCAGTCTAAGATGAAGGTTAAGGACCTAGGGTATAGGAGACCCATCAGTCTAAGGTGAAGGTTAAGGACCTAGGGTATAGGAGACCCATCAGTCTAAGATGAAGGTTAAGGACCTAGGGTATAGGAGACCCATCAGTCTGAAGGAGTGGGAGCCAGATGTCGTTGAGGTGAAACCCGATGTCTTGCGGAACTGTGTTGTGCTTGCTTGCAATATGAGACTAGAATTAGCAAAACTCGCTAAATTCTTAATCTAAATCTTTTGAAGGAATCTTCCCTTGGTCTGTTGCACTAATTAAAAATCCAATTGTTTACAATAGTATTTAAGGTGAACTAGTGGAACGGGAATATTATTAACGGACCCCTGATATATATCTATAGGGGCTTAGTTCACACTATCCAAAAACGGTCCAATATCCAACACGGGGATTGAACCCCTTTTACACTATAAGATACATGTAGCAAAAATCCAACACGGACTCAACACAGGCAGGTCCAGCGCTCTATACTCGGTTAAAATCCAACCGTGCTCGGAATGGACCAGGGTGAGAGGCTCTTACCCGGGTAGAAAATCCAAAATCTACCGCCGGCTGACACCGGTGTGATTTTGAAGGGTACACTGTAAAAGGTTGGGCAAAATGAGTTGATAATTCGACCAATGCTGGTCGAATTATCGACTGCCTACACTCTTGGGCAAATTCTTCCCCAATAGTTTGACAGTTTTTACCCAATTCAACCCAATGTAAAGGTCATTTCATACCAATGCTGGGTAAATTATATTGCCCAACAGTGTTTTATCCAACCTTTTTACAGTATACACGCCTTGCCTCCCGGCGTTTGCGTCGATACCCTGTTCCGCTATTTAAACATGTTGATTTCAACACGGGTATTATAGGTGAGACGATGATGTGAAAAGGCCTTAATTGGTTCCGGGTAGGGAAAGTTAGATGTAAATCGGCCTAATTTATAGAGTATGTCCCCCCCCCCCCCCCAAAAAAAGTGTTCGTCTATATATTTCCGAAATAACTACAAAAACTCTAAATAATTTTGAGATTTTGTTATTGTGCAGATACCCCTTGGCCTAAACCCCTATGATTTTCATTAAATTTCCATCACGCCTCACTTCACAATGGTCAATTGATCACCGTGAACATTTTTGGACACATGCATGTGACCAAGTTCCTTGCCTTAATCAATTTCAGTGCTGTGTTCTGTAAGCTGTGTACAATCCTTCATTGGAATCCCTAGAATGAACAAGCTCATAATATTACCGTTACACACAAATGTTGATGTTCGCGGGCAAAATCTATGAACATCATTTTCTCCCGTTTTGAAGAACGTATCTCCATGCCACTTTTGGAGTTTGTTTCCCTTATAATGATCCAACAATATAAATCGTTTCGATATGTTCAGTATTTCTCATTAACATTTGGAAAATAGGCTTGAGTACGTCCATTTTTCAAAGCTGTAACAAATGGTGTTTGCAATTTCTGTCAATCTTTTCAAGCCTCACGAATATTAATAAGGTTCCTATGTAACACAAGCATTTGCATCAACAGATTAAGCTGGAATTCGGAATATACTTAGATGATATTAGTGTCCAACTACTCGTGAAATTATAATTGTAAGGATTCCTAGAAATTGAGATAAATTTATTGATTTGGGTACCTTTTCGAATGTTTATTCCACGATTTTTAGGTCAGCTTTACCAGTGACATTGACGTTTCTGCATCAATAACGGCGATTATTTTTTCACGGGCATGAAGTTTAGAATTTGTTCTACTATTATAATTTAACATTAACATTAAGATCATACTGAGCATATTTTTGTTTCAAAAACAGAACGTTCAAAAAGCGATGTTTTTTGGGGGTGTAGTTCACTGCTCTGTCTGCATGTGGCGGCAAGTATACGTAAGCGGATTAACTTTGCTTGTCAGCGCACGATGCAAAGCCTTCGCAACCGTAAGGTTGACTACGTTTTGGAGTGTTTTCATAGAGATAATGTTGTAATAATACTATTCAAAGTCTCAAAGAAACACATTTGCCCAAAAAACAAAAATAAATTATTTTTTCCTGTGCCAACTGTGACTTCAGAGGACAGTGAAATCCAAAGGACCTCCATATGCTGGATGACAGCATAATCAGAGTTTTTAGGCCTTTTACCAAAAAAAAACACCCTGACACACAGACATCATTATAGACATCAGACAGACAGCGTTTTTAATACACTAAGATATGCCCCTATCGGTCATCGTGGCAATAATACGTCGGGTGCCCGGGGGTCATATATGAGCGTTCTGACGCAAAAATCATTTTCAAGAAACTTGCATTGAAAGGTTCCAATGTTTCCCCGCGCGCATTTTGAATCAAATGTTTAAATTTCATTAAAATGGATGCAGTTTCCTTCATATGCCCTTTTGCTGGGAACATTTTGGTGATTACGCGCTATTGCATAAGGGCATATGCACATATGCCCTTCTGCCGGGCACACGACGAATGCACAAAATAATTGCAGGATGATATCGTGCATTTTTCTCCCCATTTAGTTAATAGTTAGCAATGATGTGTGTTTTCTTGGATTTTTTTGTCCGATCAGCATGAGCAAGCACTCATCGTGACTAGCCAGTTCGGTGTTCATTTTATTGAGATTATTATGATGAGTTTTGTTTCGCGGAGCAACAGGCATGCAAATCACAGGATATTAACCAATTATTAGTTCAAAGAAAATTCTGAATTTCAAAATTCGGAAAACAGTTGACTGTATTAGGGCCATAATACAAATTCTGCTCTCGGGAAATATATTCATCTTTTGCATGCGTCAACAATACGCGGATTTATGGGGTGGGCGTTTGCAGGATTCGTTCAGGTTTTTGCGTATTGTAGTTTTCAGAATTTAGCTGACAAAGTTAGCTAGTATTTAATTTGAACATTTCCCGAGATACCACTTTAACCTTTTAAAGGATGTTTCCAGAGTGCACGAAATTCTATTTAATTGAATCAGAATGGCTTTTCGCTTGAAGTCTTGTCATGCCTCGCCCCCCCCCCCCCCATGGGCCGGGTTTAGCCTATCCTTTATGGCGTATCTATCGATAGGGGCGCTGTTCAAAACCGACGATTATGCACACTAACGGACAATGTATGGTGCTTTTTAGGACGATACATGCATGCGCGGGAAATTAAAACAAAAAAAGGCACCCGGAACGGCCGACGGCACAAAAAAGGCACGACTTCTTTTTAAAAAAGGGCACTTGTTCTGAAAAAAAAGGGCACTTTAAAAAAAAAAAAAAAAAAAAATATTGGGGGAGGGAGATAAGCGCTGGTGAAAAGAGGGTATTTGAATGGAAAAGGGCAGTCTTTACAAAATAATGGGGGGATAAATCCCCCCCCCCCCCCGCTGGCTACACCTATGTAACGGACCCCTGATAATAGGGCCTAATAAGTTCACTTTCCAAAAATCCAACATAACGTCTTGTGATAAATGTTCCTTCATCACTTCATCATTGGGGGGGGGGTGGATATCAAATTTGAAAGTTACGCTGTTTTGAATAAAAATCACTGAAAGTTGAAATCGAACTTAATATTTCAGCACAAGAATGTCGGTTTATTTTAAATTATAAATTGCAACGCAAGCCAATGCGAAATATAAATAACATCAACAGATTATCGCTATGCACATGGCAGAAAACAACTGAAATTTTTCATTAAACTGAATTGTATACACATTATTTTACCAATCATACCTTTGCCGAGTCCAAATGAAGACTGATCATATCGCAAAGTTACTCAATGCTAACACGGAAATTCTATATCAAGCAAATATGTCTCTGTTTTGGGATGAACATGAGGGCAGATCGGGGGGGGGGTAACTATCCCCCTACCGCCTGAACAATGTTAATTATATCATATAGTGGGGAAAACCTTATTTCCAAATCCCTCCCCCCCAACTATTCTTGAAAAAAAAAAAACTTCGAATTTATGATCACAGCGCCCCGACCCCTTTGGATAATCCTATATCAGCCACCAGTAGATATCTGAACCTGATAAGGGCCTACATTGTATATGTAATTGTTCCATTTAGCTGCTGGTGCCTTTGGTTTTTTTTATGCAAATGCAAATTCCATATTCATGAGTAAAACCGTGATGTCATTCAAGGCAGAAACTTCAGTTTCACATCTGCTTCAGTATGAATAGTGACCAGAATTTTGAGAGGTTTGCTGTGATTATTTTTCTGCTTTCAGTGATTCATTTTTGTTGCATTATATAGCAGTTAGACAATGAGAAAACGTTATGCAGGCATGTTTTCAATAAGCAGAATTTTGGGTTTGCAATCTGAAGGGAAAAACCCTAATCTGAAAAGTGTGTTCCTGTAGTGACATCACAACAACTACAAATATGCTCCAGTGAAACATTCATTTCATTGTCCCTTAAAATATGCTAATCGTGTTTTGCTTGTTTTGAATTTTTTTGGGCTTCAGGGTTTGGGGTTGTTTGTTTGTTTGTTTGTTTTCTGTACGAAGTTAAAGGGAATGGACCACACTTGCTTTTGCTGCAATTTCAGAAATGAATGGATTTAGAGGATCAGTATGTTATAGCAAATATTGTTGAAATGACTTAAATTTGACTTAATTAATAACAATATGCAAAGATACATACTAAATTATGGGAACTTCTTATGCCATTTTCTGTCCAAATGAATAATGTAACTTGAGTTTATAATCATAGATATTGCACTATGCTGAAATGTGATAATCCCTCCATACTGTGTTCGCAAGCATTACTATATGAGATTCCAGTATTTCTTAAATTTTGAGTGTACTTATATTTTGTGAATATAAATGTAAGTGCATAAATAATTACTTATTATAGGTTATAAAAACTCACAAGGAAACAAGACTTCACCAAATTTGGGAAAAATGGTAAATAAGGGAACATCTTAAAAGTTGGAATGCTTGGAATGTTCCACCGGGAAACAATGCCTGCTCCAATTGGGAACATGTCTTATTCTTACTGGAAACACTTGGGATGGACTCAAATACAACTCTACAGAATAGATTCTTTGCACGGCAGCCATCTCTGGGGTACATGCTTTTGCTCCACATGGATATATACCTGAGTAAAATACCTCAAATATGGCTGCTGAATGGAAAAGGTCTGTTGTTAAACGTCAAATATCTTGGAGCTCAGGTGGTGTTGTTGTCAAGCACACTTGGACAATTGCACAATGTCCTCCGTGTCTCTTAGTTGTGGAAACCAGTTTGAAACATTTCCTGTGGTAGCAACGTTGCACGACTCGTACCAACCACTTCGTCGAGTTCAGGGCTGGCTCTCTGTTCTTCCTGAGCACGTTGTAGAGCACGAATAGATGGTAGCGGGTAGTGTTGCTGTAAGAGGAACTCATAGCCGTTAGACCCACACATTTGCCATAACCTGCGTGCCTTGTTGATAGTCTCTTTGCTCCATCGGATGCCCCGAATACCTCTATCTTGATGACTCAAGGCCTCTATCTGATCTTTTCCAAACATCTTGACCATGTTACTCTCCAGTATGCTCTTCTTTTTGACGAGTATTCGCTTTTCCCTCCTCAGTTGGTGTATCGTGGCTCGGTACTTCTTCATTCTCTCTCTCATCTTAGTGAGCTTATCTGACGTACTGTCTGCTGTCAAGGAGTTTGTGATTGCCATGTCATCTTCGTCATCTTCAGTGTCGCTATCATCAGCATGGAGTTGCTCATTTGCATTGAGATTGGCTATACAAGAAACAATGGATAGAAACAACAACAATAGATTGATGCTTTGTAATTTGTTTCGAACTCTTTCCAAAAAGGGGCACTTTTTTTTACATTTTGTTTTTCAACACAGTAAAGTCGTACTGAGCAAGTCTTTGCAATTTGAACATTGAGACAAGATTAATTAAAATCATATATACTTGTAAAAAAACTCGCCCAAATTTTTCGCATGGTTTAAATGAGGGCCTTTCATTTTAGATAGGCGAGTGGATTATGGCCGAAAAAGTGTTTTAAATGTGGAAACTAGTGGATGTGGAAACTATCAAACTATCAGCTAATTTTGGTTTGAGTTTTATAGTATGCTCCCCGACTACATGTAGGTCACAGATCAAAATTACCCAGAATCTCTGTGGGCCTTCATGTCAGAGTTGTAACGAGTCACTGATTTTTGTGACTCGAGTCGAGTCGAGTCATTTTAAAGAAGTGACTCGAGTCGAGTCGAGTCATTAGGTCAACAAGGTCGAGTCGAGTCGAGTCGAGTCACAGAGTGTGGTCGAGTCGAGTCGAGTCGAGTCGAGTCGAGTCAAGTATTTAGCTCGAGTCAATTCGAGTCACAAATATTTGAACACTTAATTACAATAAAAAGCAACAAACACAAGAGAGAAAGAATACAAGGCACCAGTCTATTACGGAAATCCAAAGACATAAAGTATGCTGTATGGTACCCAACCAACAGTTTCCATTGCTAGCTCACGTCACAGATAAGAAGATGTGAAACTTCGGTCTTATAACTGGTTTGGCCTCGGGTCTAGATGATCGCTGACAACGTTAAAACCTAATTGCATTATACAAAACTGTTTCTGATTATTTAAAGGTGGACCCGTCCGTATCCATTTTTGTGTGTGAAATCGGGACATGAATTTAGCCAGCGTTCCACCAAGAACTTCAAAATCGCCCGAAACCAATGATGAAACCACGGATTGAGAAATGCGTTTTAAGTCCGGTTCCGGGTTTAGCATTACATGCTATAGAACCACAAGGTGGGAGTCCGCGACACGGTGTATGTTTGTTGTTTCATTATGGAGGAAGGAAACAGACTGCCGCTGTATATAAACCTACATTATTCGCGAACATTAACGTGACGTGAACAAAAACTGGCAACGCGAACGGCGCAGCGTAAGTCATTGCAAATATTTTCGCAAGTAAGTTTTGCTTTTTATTTTGGGACTCGAGTCTTATTAGCCTTCCTCGAGTCGAGTCGAGTCATTCTGATGAGGGACTCGAGTCGAGTCGAGTCATTTGCTCGCAGTGACTCGAGTCGAGTCGAGTCATTTACCCGTCGGGACTCGAGTCGAGTCGAGTCGCCAAAAAATGTGACTCGAGTCGGACTCGAGTCGAGTCATTGACTCGAGTCATTACAACTCTGCTTCATGTTCAAATGACGCCATCAAAAGGTTCTACTGGCCCTTCAATTCAAAACATACATTAATTGGAACTGGATCCTTGCTGGCTACAGGCTCAATATTTAACCCGCTCCCTGTAAGTTTTTCGGAGAACAATAAAGTCCTACAGGCCTTCATTAGCTGTTCTGCCAATTTCATTTGGTTGGGTTGCAATTATTGTGGTCATTTTGACGACGTCATTTGAACAGAGATTCTGGGTAAGTTTAATCTGTGATGACCTAGTAAGGATAAAAAAATACCAAAATCTGCTGGAAGTACGCCAGTTACAACTTCACCCAAACTGTTTGGCTCAATCCACTCGCCTAATAATGAATTTCTAAAATATGCCAATCCCCCACCTCTTTAACTGATCAAAATGTCTGGGCCACTCTTTTCAGAATATTGTTATCAATTTTGCCAACTGAATTTAATAATTGTAAATTGATAGGTAAGGAAGCATGTTGGTATGGGGGTAAATGGGGTGGGGTTAGTGGGCTGGGGTTGAGTTGGGTGGGGTTAGTGGGCTGGGGTTGAGTGGGGTTGAGTTGAGTGGAGTGGGGTTAGTGGGCTGGGATTGAGTGGGGTGGGGTTGAGTGGGCTGGGATTGAGTGGGGTGGGATTGAGTGGGGTGGGGTTTAGTTGGGTGGGGTTGAGTGGGGTTGAGTTGAGTGGAGTGGGGTTAGTGGGCTGGGATTGAGTGGGGTGGGGTTGAGTGGGGTGGGGTTCAGAGGGGTGGGGTTCAGTTGGGTGGGGTTGAGTTGGGTGGGGTTGAGTTGAGTGGAGTGGGGTTAGTGGGCTGGGATTGAGTGGGCTGGGATTGAGTGGGGTGGGGTTGAGTAGGGTGGGGTTGAGTGGGCTGGGATTGAGTGGGCTGGGATTGAGTGGGCTGGGATTGAGTGGGGGGATTGAGTGGGGTGGGGTTGAGTGGTATGTGGTGAACGGGCTGGGGTTGAGTGAGGTAGGGTTGAGTGGTGTAGGGTTGAGTGGGGTGGGGTTAGTGGGCTGGGGTTGAGTAGGGTGGGGTTGAGTGGGCTGGGGTTGAGTTGTATGGGGTGGGTGGCGTGAGTGGTGTGGGGTGGGTGAGAGTTGGATTGGGGTGAGTGGGGGGATGGGGGGGGAGTTATGCATTATCAACATTACACACTTACAGTTTTTGGAAACCGAGCCTGGAAAGACAACAGGCATGGGTTGAGGCATGGGTTGAGGCATGGGTTGAGGCATGGCACTGGCAGTGCAGGCATGGTCCTGAGCTGCAGTGTTTGGTGGGACAAGTTCTGGCACTGGTGATGGGACGGGTAGGATTGGTCTAAATCTAATAGGCTTGGCTTGCTGAGCTCTGTCAACAAAGATGGCTGGTACTGCTTGCCGAGCTCGGTCACCAAAGAGGGTCGGTATTGCCATGGGCTTCAACTTCCTCTTCTTACCGTCCATTCGTAATGGCTGCAATGCTTCCTCTTCAAAATGTGCCTACAGAAAAAATAGTAACGATAATAACAATTGTAATAAATAGTTTCATGACTGTAAGCCCTAACTCTTTGCATAATCATAAAAAAAGGAACAATTCTTAGACTTTGCTCTATTTCTAAGTCAGTTTTTAGGACAGTACTCAAACAGATCAGATCTCAGATCAGATGGTCCGGTCCAACTCCAAGACAAAGTCTGAGCAGCTCAAGAAAGATCAACAATTATTTTGGCACTGTATCAAGATTTTTAGGTTGTTTTCCTAACAAAAAAAAATGCCTGCATAACGTTAGGTGTTTGGCTAGAATACTACTCCATTGACTTTGGGATGGAGGAATCGTCGGACAAGGCAACAGCAAATTTAGGGGAGTGGTTGTAGACAATTGGCTGAAAAAAAAATACAACACAATCTTGGCCAATGAAATGTAGGACCTCATTTCCAGTGTTGGAGGCAAGTCCTAAAATCCAAGTATCAAGTACTCCAAGCAGACATTTAGAGTTGAGTACAGGCTGAGTCTGAGGAGGCCTACTCAGACTCAGGCTACTGTAGCAGAGCTAAAGCTGATCAGCCTACATGTCAAGACCATTTTGTTTCCAGAGTAGGGCCTACTGAAAATCTAGTTCAGGCCAAGTACTTACTTGTACTCAAGCTACTACTAAGCCCTAGCTAGGTCTACTAGAGTGCGAGATGGCCACACTGTCACTGATACTGCTTACTTCTGAAAAGTGACAGAAATATCAATTGACCATGTTGATGGTAGTGCCATAGTATTTAGCACACGACACTTTGACCGATTCCAGTTTGGCCGGCCACTGCTACAGAGCCAAAGAGCAAGTTGTCTCTGACCTCATCTGCTGGAGATTGCCTTGCCCCCAACAGAGGGAGGAGACCCCTCAACTAAGTTGATACTGTATGCCATGATGTGAGCCAGCACGTCGATGACATCACCACGGCCATGGCAGACAAGAGAGTCTGGAAGAGTTTGGTTGCATCCATCTCGGCTGCGGCCGCCCAATGATGATGATTGACCGATTTCACATTTTGCATGTAATGTCTAATGGTCTACAGAGTGCAGTACAACTCTTGTGACCTAAATAGCGTGGTTATCCCCCAGACTGGCCTTGGGACACTGCGTCTTGAAATACGCCCAATTGGGCTACAAAACACATTTTGAACAAAATGATGTTAATCGGAAAGTACATTTAAATGTAGGATATAAACATCCAAACAACTATCCTTTAAAATCTTTTGTATATTCTTGTGTTATTGTGCAAGAACAACTTTCAGGGTCCACTTTTGCAACCCCAAAAAGTTTTGGGCTGTTCGTGCTAAGTTAAGATTCCAGCCATTTATAGGGTTCACCTTTTGGGGACGTGTAAGAAATCACATTTTGTGCTTTGGTGATTGGTTACTTCTGTTCATGAGCATGTATACTAGACAAACACAACATGTATCGTACATTGTACAAAACGACGGGAAACACATATCATACCTCGTCATTTCCGATGTAAACAATCAGGATTTTTTCGTCTTTTCTCGGGAATGGCAATACTAAAGGAGTAAGTCATTTTGTAAGTTTAGTAAGACATTAGGCCTAGGTTGGTTTCCTTAGTTTCAACCAGATGTTTGAAATAGAATAAGTAAACAATCCAAAACATGAAATTTTCGGGGATTTCTGGACGCTAAAGCTGATCAGTACTTGTGTTTTCACAAAAAAAAGAAAACCAAGCCCGGGCCTACCTCACAAATTTTTGAGTGTGGCGGGGCAGACCACGGTTGGCCATTCGCATCCAATTGAGTTTGGTTGACTTTTCGAAGTATTTCTTCCCACACTTTCCGTCTGTGTGGGACTTTAGGGATTGTGTGCAGTCTGAAACCCCGCTCTTGATGATTAAGGCAGCCCTTCACACTGCAAACAGTCATGTTCAACTCCCTGACCTAGGCCTTACGGCCTGCTGAAACCTGAAGAGCACAGCGAAAATTTACATCAACCGCGCGAACCTTGCCCTTGGGAACAACATGGCGCCCGTAACAATCACCAGCTGCTGCTGCGTTGTTCTAGCGCCCTCAAGGAATGACAGTTAAAAAGGTAACTACGCGCCCATAGAACTCTACACAAAATCCGACAGAAAACCCATTGAGCAAGGAAGCAATGTGTTTTTCACTGGAAATTAAAGAATACGACCTCATTAAACCAGAAAAATGCAGTGTTATCAGATTCACCAATAAGAGAACCATCATCCACTCTTCATACAAGCTCTCTGGTCACATTCTGGAATCAGTTCAAAGCCACAAGTACCTTGGCGTCCACCTCTCATCGGACATGAAATGGAATACTCATATCAATGCAGTCACAGCTAAAGCAAACAGCATGCTTGGTTTTCTTAGATGCAACTTAGGTTCAGCCCCACCCAAGGTCAAACTCCAAGCCTAGTCCGTCCCGCATCTCGATTACTGTGCATCAGTGTGGGATCCCTTTACAGCCACCAATAAACAGAAGATCGAGATGGTTCAACGAAGAGCTGCCCGCTTTATCACTAACACATATAGCTGGGACAATTCTGCATCTGTTACTGCTCTTCTTGAAAAACTGGAATTACCCACCCTGGAAAATAGGAGATACGTACAGCGCCTCACAAACTTCCATAAAATCTTCAATGGACAGATCGACGTTAAAGTTCCACCTGAAATAACCATTAGGCAGCCAGAAATAATAACGAGACGCCCAAAACCCAACTACCTTCAGATCCCCTTCACCAATATCAAAGGACTCCAACACTCATTCTTCTATCAGACCAGCAAGGATCGGAACGACCTCCCTCAGCACATTACTGGCATAGGAGACACCAATCAATTTAGTGATATCCTTAGATCCCTCAGCACTCGTCAATAGCATGTCCACCCCTTCCAAGCTGAGTGATGTTCCTGTAGGAGCTTATCATCTATATTAATCAAGATCAAGATCAAGACCCCCCCCCCAACCACCCCTTAAATGGTTGTCAAACTGTGGGCCATGATGTAGCCCGCCTCTGCCCACCACAACTTGGTTGAGGGTTTCTGTGAACGACCCAGTTGCAGCCGGCCACAAGTCACAAACTTGATCGCCAGAAATATGGGATCACAAAATAATAATGAGCCGCCGTATATTTTGTGATTCCACGGGTAGGATTTAATTAAACTGGCGTACGGTGAGTCTGTCTTAATCTTAATCTTGAAGGAATAGATTTACGAATATAGTTTCATTGCCGTAAACCCGTTTCCGTATATCCGATTCGAACCAGCCAACTTGTCCCGCAAGCTCGGTGGTCGAGTGGTAAGACGTATGCGCTAGAAAGCAGCTCGAGGGTTCGAGTCCCACCCAAATTTTTTTCTCACTTTCACTCGGGAGGCCGGGGGTGTAACACGCTGAGTATACAGTGTTTATATACGTCGGTGAAGGAAGGGTAAAACCTTATATTGAATTTACATCAACCCGACCAGACGCAAAAAAAAATCCATCTTATGAATTCCATCTTCTGCCGACCTGCGTTAATAACCAAAAGTCACCACTGCACCATGGCACAAAACACCTGGAATATGTGATTTGTACACACATTAATGTTTTTTGGCAAGTTAACCTTTGCCGAGCCCAAATGAACACTGACCATATCGCAAAAGTTACTCAATGCCAACACGGATGTTCTATCCTAAGATTTTTTTCCAGTTGTGGGATAAACATAAGATCGGGGGGGGGGGGTGTGGTTTGGGTGGCCGGGATGTAGGAGGGGGAGGGGTAATCGTCCTCCCCCTAACCTACCCACCCACCCCGCCCGAACAATGTTAATTACATTATAAAGTGAGGCAAACCTAATTATCACAAGTTTCCTGAATACGTCGTCACTTAATATATATTACAAATCTTGATGTATTATTTCAGGTCTTTAATGTCTTGCCTGCATCACTTCATCCACCTCCCTCCTCCTATCCAACTCTTCTTGAAAATCTTCCGACTTCAAGGATAACGTGTAGCATTGGGGATCCAGGATTTTCCGGGGGGGGGGGGGTGGAGTTGGCCCTATGGCTGTGATAATGAAGTCGGAAGATTTTTAAGAAGAGTTGGATAGGAGGAGGGAGGTGGATGAGGTGATGCAGGCAAGACATTAAAGACCTGAAATAATACATCAAGATTTGTAATATTAAGTGACAACGTATTCAGGAAACTATTGATATAGGTTTGCCTCACTTTATAATATAAATAATCCTTGAAATGTACCTAGGCTTTGTGTTCCATTTCACTTTATAGCTGCCTTTTGTTTTTTGTTTTTTGCCAATGCACATTTCCATATTCGAGCAGAAACTTCAGTTTCACATCTTCTCCAGCATAGAAAGTCACCAGAATTTGAGGGGTTTGCTGTAGACATTAATTTTTCTGCTTTCAGTGGTTCATTTTTGTTGCATTATGACGACAGTAACTAAGACAACAAGAACTTACACTTTATGTACCCATGTTTTCAATAAGCAGAATTTTGGGTTTACAATTTCAAGAGAAAAACCCTAATAATCGGAAGAGTGTGTTTCTGAAGCGATATCACAGTAACAGCGCCATCCGTTGTCAGGAAAAACATGAAACATTTAAACTGTTTAAAAAAGTTTCCTTTGCAAATGTTTTTCACCAAAAAAGGGATGTGTCATAGTTTTGATTCACTTCAGAGGAACGGATATGCTCCTGTGTAAAATTCACTTGATTGTCCCTTTACATACACTAACCTGTTTTTGTGCTACAGTTCAGATCAACAAAGATTCTTTCCATACAGTATAACATGAGCCTTAAAATTGAACCGAGATGTGACAGAAACGCAAAAATTTGACTCAATTAACAATACGCGCAGACACCAAATTATGCGAACTGACAATGCCATATTGTGTCCTAATTAATAATGTAAGGCTTACAGTCATTGCTAATGCACCATGTAGAGTTGTGAAATCCCCTCCACATTGTATCCACCGGTAGTACCATCCAATGAGATTCCAGTTTTCTCTAAAATGTTGAGTTTACTTACTTCATGAAAATTAAATTTAACATTATTTAAAAGTTTATAACAACTCAATAGTATAGTAGACAAGACTTCACAAAAAATATGAACACAATGGAAAGTAATGAGTATATCACAAAGTAGACAACGCTGTTTTGCTTTCACAAAGTGTCGATATACAACTGTTAGCATGTGGCCTCTATGCTGTGAGAAAACGTTTGCCCATCTGATTCCAACCACCACTAGACTATCAAGTGAATTTTGAGAACTACATTTTTTTTAAGGACTCAAAGACAGTACAACTCTGCAGAATAGATTCTTTGCACAGCAGCCATCTTTGAGGTGAGCACTTTTGTTCCATATTGATATGCCTGCGTTGACCTCTTATAAAAATATCTCAATATGGCCGCTGAATGGAAAGGGTCTGTCAAATGTTATATAATATAGCACCTAAGATGCTGTTGTTGATGTAATGCACACTGAACAATTCTACAATGTCTTCCAGTCTTTTAGTTGTGGAAACCACTCCCAAACATTTCCTGAGGTAGCAACGTTGCACGACTCGTACCAACCACTTCGTCGAGTTCAGGGCTGGCTCTTTGTTCTTCCTGAGCACGTTGTAGAGCACGGACAGATGGCAGCGGGTAGTGTTGCTGTAAGAGGAACTCATAGCCGTTAGACCCACACATTTGCCATAATCGGCGTGCCATGTTCATAGTCTCCTTGCTCCATTGGATGCCTCGCATGCCTCCTCGACTCAAGGCCTCTATCTGATCGCTTCTGAACATCTTGAGCATGCTGCTCTCTAGTCTGTTCTTCTTCTTGAGTATTGTTCCCTTTTCCCTCCTCAGTTGGTGTATCTTGGCTTGGTATGTCTTGATCCTTTCTCTCATCTTAGTGAGGTTGTCTGAAGTACTGTCAGCTGTCAAGGAGTCTGATGTTGCCATGTCTTCTTGAGTGTCGCTATCATCAGCATGGAGTTGCTCATCTGCATTGAGATTGGCTATACAAGAAACAATGACAATAGATTGATGCTTTAAGACTTCTTTTAAGAAAGGGGCACCCTTTTAGATGAGTTGGGTGGCCGGGTGGTGAGTGGGGTGGGGGAGTGGCAAGTGGGCCCAGAAATTGGGAGTTGGGGAGCTTCTGCATTTAATATCAACATGACACACTTACAGTCTTTAGAATCTGAGCCTGGAAAGACAACAGGCATCCGTTGAGGCGTGGCACTGGCTGAGTAGGCGTGGTCATGAGGTACAGTGTTTGCTGGGAGGAGTTCTGGCATTGGTACAGGGATGGGTAGGATTGGTCTAAATCCACTCAGCGTGACTTGCTGAGCTTTTTCACCGAAGATAAGCGGTACTGCGTTGTACTTCAACTTTCTCTTACCGTCGACTCGGTGTGGCTCAAAATGGTGCCCTTCAAAGTGTACCTTTACATAAAAAAATAACAACAATTGTAATAGTAATTAGTTTAATGACTGTGAACTCCAACTCTTTGCATAACTATCAATAAAAGGAACACCTTTTTGCTCTAATTCTTATTCACTTTTTGGCACATTACTCAATCAAGTTTTAAGTTAGTCTCAAGTTCAGATGGTCCCGTCCAACTCCAGGACAAAGTCTGAGCAGCTGAAGAAAAATCAACGATTATTCTTGCATTGCATCAAGATTTGTACATTATTTTCCGGAAGAAATCTGCTGATCTGGGTGGAAAGAATGTTGCATCCTCACGCTAATTTTTGTTATCATTGTCTCAACACTCTCTCCAACTGGGCGAGTACTGTTCGAAGGAGTTTTGCATTTTTGTGAACGCCTGAGATGAAGGACAAGAGCCCAGAGACAGGGACCACCCCCCCCCCTACAAAAAAACAAACACCCTTGATTATCCTTCCTATCAAGGCTCCAGGCCTACCTCACAAATTTGTGCGTGTGGAGAAGCAAACCACGGTTTACAATTCGCATCCAAGTGGCTTTGGTTGACTTTTTCTTCCCACAATTTTCGTCTGTGTGGGTTTCTGGGAAATCTGTGCATCTTGAAACCTTTCTCTGGACGATTCGAGCAACCCTTGGCACAGCAACCAGTCATTTTCAATTTTATTGTGATCAGTTAAATCTTGGAGAATACAGCGACAATTTGCCTAAAAATTAAAACGAGATCATCCAAGCTGCACGCACTGCGCGAACTTTGGGAACAACATGGCGCCCATCAACCACGTGACCTAAATCACCTGGTACCCGTCATGTCGTAACCAATGGTGCACAAGATACGCGTGCCCGATTACCAATCCTATGAAAAAGTTCTAGCGCCCTCAAGAAATGTTTGTTAAAACGGTACCTTGCCGCCGTGCCTTCACGTACGTCCGTACTGTACTGTTTGGGCGCGATTCGGCTAAAGCAAAGTGAAGTTCAATTTAAAAAAAAAATGTGACATTGGCAATATGTCGTTTACTAATTCCTATAAATACACGAAGTTAACTGGTTCTTCCGTGTGTGTTCCAACGGCGTATCAGAGAAACTGATTCATCAACGATGATTTTTGCACGGAAATTACACACTTGGTGTTCCCCTAAAATCACAGCGATTGATTAAAAAAAAAGGCTCATGCGAAATTTCAATCGGTTTTACGGAGGGGCCCTTTCTAGACATTATGTACTCGGTAGCATATATAATGAAATGCCGTACTTGGTAGCATATATAATGAAATGCCGTACTCGGTAGCATATATAATGAAATGCCTTACTCGGTAGCATATATAATGAAATGCCGTACTCGGTAGCATATATAATGAAATGCCAAAGACGCGCGCCGCGATTTTGCACATGTGGTACGTACAATCGCCAGATAAGTTCTTCGGAACAGCTATTGTCGATTAATTTTAAAACAACACGTGGGAGAAAACGCTTTTTTTACTTGTTCAAATGCGGAAATAAAATTGAGCTATATCAACACCAATGATTGAGCCACGATTACTATATGGTTGACCGCCTTCACGGCAAGAACACTTGTCTCCGATAAACACCCAATCACACATACTGGAATTTAATTTGTATTCTTGTTGAGACATTCTTTGTTCTCAATTTTCGAGTTTGAAAGTATATAGTTTTAAAATGGTCCTATTGGAACAAGATTTAATTTCCTGAGCAGAAATTCGGACTTAATATCCCTTACATAAAAAAAGTCACTTTGCGACGGATCAAAACACCTTGGAAATTCCTACTTTTTGAGTAAAATTTATACATCTACTTCGTGATAACCTTGCGAATACGTATAGAAATTGCCGTGTGAAGACGAATACAATCTTTTGTTACCTATTATTCCCATGTCTCCAGAGGGTACTGTGTATCAGATCACAACTGTAAGAAATAAGTCCACAAAGACCGAACACACAAACGGATCACGAAAAACACAAAGCTACTGCATGCATGCAGCAGAAGTCTTTGTCAAAACGAAATTTTGATTATGGGCCAACAACAGGTTATAGCTGTGACCCCCAAGGAATGATAAATAAAAACAAGTCTGGATATACATAAAATCATTTGCCTTGAGTGCCTTATTTCGCTTTAAATTTCGCACGTAAAAATCTGTGCCAGCGCCCGCGGGAACATTTTCTTAAACCACGAATGATATCATTTCAGGCGAAATAATTCCACTGGTTGTTTGATACCAGTCCTATCTTCACTTTGAGCGAGGATTTTCTCGTTAAATCGGTAGGTATACGTACTTTTCCGGATAATTGCAAATGTTCCTGCGCGCCCATGATCCTCCAAACTAAAACAATTGTTCCGGTCGGTGTCACATGAAATTTGGACTCTTTAGAAATCACATCTCTTTAACCTTTTTTGGACTCGAACTTTCATACGCGTGATTCATCGTCACTGGTCTCATTCTGTGCACCGATGCATGCTCAAATACAACTAATGAGTCAGTATTTTATCGAGTCAGTATACGACTTTTTATACTTCGGTCTGAAAGGCTTTACCTTATGGTCCAAACTTGCGTTGCAGGTGACTAAGGTTACTAAGGTTTTTTTAAAGGGGCCATGTAATAATAATAAAGTCCTAATAAATTTACCTCTGTGTCCCATTAACCTTATTTTCAATTGTCATTTTGCCATTTTAAGGGCATTTTGGAGCCCTTTTGGTTGATATGCTGATGCAAGTTTGCTTATTTATGAGCAAAAGTGTGATGTCATTTCAGCCAGCACCAAATTTTGCCAGAATTCTGGATATTTTGCTTCCGTAAATTTTCTATTCTTTGGTGATTCATTGTTGTGTCAGTACAACATAATGAGCAAATCCGTTACCTTGTAAACCCCTCCCTTTGTTAAGCGTCCATCTACAGGACAGGCTTAGTTTTCTTATGGTTTTCTACAGGGTGAGTAAAAAATAACGAAACTCAAATGTCGGGACCATTGCTTCAGTGAAGTTCTGCATGTAGCCTTTCAAAATCTAGGATATAAGCCCAATTCATAAGCTTTCTTTATACAAGAATCATTCAAATCACTCATAAGTTTCAAGCTACCGGATTTAAGCACAACCACCGTTTGAAAGTTCTGGACACGGATCACAAGAAGAAAAGTGTTTTTTTCGACAAAACGAAACTAAATCACATATATAGGCTTGGAACGTGTGTGAATTGTTTTTGTTTTGCCGAAAGAACGCACACCTTTTTTTGTGATCCGTGGACTGAACTTTAAAACGGTGGTTGTGTTTAAAAATCCGTAACTTGAAATGTACGTGAGTGATTTGAATGATTCTTGTACTCGACGAAAGCATATGAATTGGGCTTTCATATGCTATACATGCACAAATTGGGTTACATGCACAACTTCACTTAAATAATAGTCCCGACATTTGGGTTTCGCTTTTTTTTTTACTCGCCCTGTACATCTCTCTATACATGTACATGTAATAGCAAGCCAAGCACGCTGGAATACTGTACAGCCACACAGGCTCCTTGGATGACGAAAGTATTGTGCTAGCTATTGTTGAGATAATCCGCCACAGGGCAGTTGCATTGCACAATAGATTGGAATATATGCTTCGACCATTAAAAGGGGCCTTCGTAAGGCGTAAGTGAACGGTGAAAACTATACTAGGTTTGCACATAGCATCATATCCCTATTTTCATGTTGACACCAGGCATGGCTAAAACAAGGGCCTCTATCGTAAACTTTAGTGCCAAATTTCTATGACACTAAATCCAACAATATTTGATGCCATAATTCAATTTTGAGGAAAGCATCTTTTCATTTTGTAGTAGGGCTATATGTCTTTGAAAATGCAAAACCAAACTTAAACAGTGAAAGTAAAACCAAGAGGAGGCAAGACTGTTTTGACAGCGGGTCATATCTTAGAAGCATCTTAGAGTTGAACCTCATTGTTTTACGATGCACAATGGTATTGAAGATGTAGTTTCCTCCCCCCCCCCCTCAAAAAAATATTAATTTCTTTAAAATGCAATTTTTCTAGCAGGTGGACTCTCTTGAATGACTAAAAGCTTCCTTTTTCACCTTTCTTTAAAGGCAGGATGCATAACATAGTCTCATTTTGTTCAACCTTGCATTTGAAGACCTTGCATTGTGTTAATCTGGTTCCAAGGTCTACCCTCCACAGAAAACAATACTTTTTATTTCCTGAAATTGTAGAGTAAGTTTTTAAAGCTTGCTTTAAACTTACATTGCTGTTGTATCCCAAGTTTATAGTTGGGTTTGGGTTAATGGGCGTCGGTCTACCCTCAAAGAAATGAAGAGAACAAACCTGTACAAAAACAAAATGCAAACGATTGGTCTGATAAATTAGCTTTCTGTACACTAGGCCAAGTAAAACAAAACACCATGTTCCCCGCCCACTTCCATTTTGGAGGCTGCCTCCCTTTAAATAAAAAAAGACAAAAAAATTATAAATTTTAAGCAGTGACATTATTTTGGCCTCTTTGTCTGTTGCAACTAGCCCATATAAAGATGTTAGGAACTACATGTATGTCATTTCCTAAGTCCAAGTGGCAGCCATTTCAAGAAAAAAGCTGGCGACCATCTTGAAAAATACTCAGGCCGGGCAATTGGAAAATGGGTCGGGTGGCCATTTTGGTTTTATGCTGACGGTAATCGTATTTCTAGGTTTGTGAGCAATTTTTTATAGGTTCTGCGCATGCGTATATCCCCCAACTAAAGAATTCTGTGCTTACAGGGTAGCACGGAATTTTCCTTCTAGCACTGTCAGCACAGAATGGTGAAAGTTGGCACGGAATTTAAAAAAAAAATCTTTACCTACCCTATTTTCAAAGGCCATGTAATCAGAAGCAAAAGTATTCTTTGGGGGGGGGGGGGCCTTATCAAAAGTTTGCCTTTTTTTCACTCCTGTATCACAACTAATCAAGAAGAATCATGAAACTCAACAAACACTATCAATCATTTCTGGATAGACTTTAAACAAAACAAAATTGAGTTAAACATATAAAAAAAATTGATGAGATATTTGTGCTGTATAGTGTTGGCCTGAGAACTTTATCAGAGTCCCCCACTATTGACTGTTAAACTGATTCCTGAGTGACAGCTATGATATATGAGAGGACCAGGAACCAGTCTAAGTGTAGACCCAAATTAATAACATAGACTTCCCCAAGTCCCAGCCGGAATTGTCGAATTTCCAATGTCATGAGCATCACAACAGGTTTATGCACGCAGTGTTCATGTACAATGTTCAAATCCAAAAAAAAGAAACTCACCGTACTATATTTGGAAGGTTTAAAGTCCAACCTGTTAATATTTTTCACCCATTGCTGACGTTTCGCTACGGCTTCGGCGCTCGATCCACCGGGAAAACGGTGCATTTGATACGGCTGCAAGCACACACAATACTCGTGTGTTTCCGGTGCGTGTAACTCGCACGTCGCCAGTTTCCATTTTCGAAGTCTCTTGCTGGTGTTTTTGCACCCAATCACGGCACAGTTTTTCCCCGAGCCTTCTCGCTTCTTCTTCGTCGTCGTTGCACTAGCCATGATACAGTTGTTAGTGTTATTATGAATAAAGTCGATGAGGTGAATACCTAACTAGAATCGACTGTAACTTGAATACGAACAACGTATGCAGGGTAGATGCACAAAGGCCCCTTATAATGGCGGACGCAACAGCGCCATCAAGAGACGATTGGAAATTTTCGCTTCGATCACAAACTTGTAACATAGAGGCTTTTAGTTTTACTAGTTTTAGTAGCCTGATAAAAATTATGACAACCATTGCTTTTAAAGGAAAAAAATAAGGTACAAGACTATTTCGGGCTTCCATTTATATCTTTATTGCATGGACTCGAGAATGTAGCTGGCGATATTGAAAAGCAACAGGAATGTCATGGGAAGAGAGCAAGGTGGTGAACTGAGGGTTCGTTAAAATTATGACATTAATTAAGAAAGTATAATATTTTTCCGGTCAATAATATTTTAAAACATAGCAGCCTATAAGGAAAGATGATTGTTTGAGGTTGTTGAGAAGTCACTTATGAGTGATAGAAAGATAGAGGCCAGTTTAAAACTGAAGACAAAAGAGGATCGGGTCCTAAACACTATTACCGGAAAAAGTTGCCGCAAAGCTACAAAAATATCATAAAATATACCCACCCAGCTCAGCTCATTTGCGCATTATAAACCGAACTCGGTTAATTTTAAAAACATTAAAAAAACATATATTTCTGTATTTCAATGAAAATGCTTTCTTATCCGTTGCGCATCCGGGGAGCCGGAGGAGCAAAGGGGGCCATGCCCCCGCCCCCCCCCCCCAAAAAAAGAACCCAATTATTTTTTTAAGTGACGTCGCCAAAAAGGGCACCTTTGCTTTCACCACCATCTTTTGCTGATTTTTTGAAATGATTAAAGTGGTCAGAAATTGACTCAGAACGCACCAGAGCGTATAGAATCCAACAATTTTCCGGGGCCCTTGAAGCGGGCCCCGACCCGCACACCGTAAATTTTGAATCAACTTTTTTGGGGACCCCCCAAAAATGGTGTCCTGGATCCGCCCTTGTTTCGTATGTGAGTGAATCTGCCATAAAATAAAACGAATTTAAAGAAGCTTCTTTTATAAAGTCTAAAGAATTGTTTAATTATCAATGTCGATCTTAAAAAAGGTAAAACTATCGTCACGTTGCATGCCATTAAAACGAGAAGTTATAGTCAGGCAGCTACGGGATTGAAGAAGTTGGGTGAAGGTTTTTGCAAACTTCAAATAACCTGTTAACAAATCAAATTTAAAAGTACGTTATTTCCTAAAATTATAGAGACTTGATCGGCACTAACATGAAAAAAAATCTTAAATAGGTCGCTCCTGGAAATAACTCTTTTTCAAAATTAATAAGCTCTATGCCTATATCTTGTTTTTCTTGGAAGTGCAGTATATCATCACTTAAACCGTGGAAATTATGTCAGTCCTCCAAGAAAACACCCCATTTAAAGCTAACCCTTCGCACATTAAGAGCTATAATAAATACTTCTTGTTGATATCCCAACGATTTCTCAGAAATCGAGTGAGTTTGACCGTGAATCACGTAGAGCGTGTTACCGGCCCGGCGGTGCATGGTACGGCTGAGCTATGGCCTTGAGAGACGCCGCTGAGCTGGGTTGATTTCATGGGAATAAGCCAATTAGTATAGGAATTGGACTGGAAACCATTTTAACGGCCTGTGGATTTTACATGGTCTGCATCACATTTACGGGAAATCAGCTTTTCTTGTTTCTTGTACTATTATACTAATTAGCTGAATATTTTACTTTATTCCTATATTCAAGCATAATGTCTAGCTACACGCTTTAGAGTACGATGAGTAATGGCACATAATTTGAAACTCTGTAACGACCCAAACTGGGGCTATGCACACCGTAAAAGAATTAAAAAAAAACAATCCTAAGTTCGGGCAACTTTTGATGCTGAAGAAAATGAACTGTGTCTGGTTTGTTTTCTTGCATCATCATCAAAATATAGAAATTCGCATTTAAAGGGAATGTACATCATTGGCTTTCACTGGAATTTTCAGAAATGAACTGGTTGAGGGGTTAGTATAATAGATCAAAATATTGTTACACTGACATGTTTGAAGTTTTGTGTCCGAAAATGCTCGAAAAAAAACAAGAAAAACAAAAATGTTCAAGTAGTCTGGTTCCCTGACTCCACTAAAGATGAAATAGATCAATTTATAGATGTCGGGAAATTGTAAGGTAAGGGAACCAGTCTAGCTGGCCTGCACCCATTCATGAACATGTAACCAATAGCAAACACAATTTGAACTGAAATGGTAAATATGGAGCAGTAGTTGAACAATAGTTAGGTTTTTCCAACGGTGGTCGGTCGACCACCGTTGGAAATGTATACAAAAATACCATTTTCTTGAAAATGACTTCACACCAGTTGCCGTAATTTTACAGAATGCTTGTGACTGTCATTAACCAACAACCTAGTAAGGTATTTCGTAAAAACTTGGTAGTTTTATTTTTCGATGTTTGCAAATGTTGTATATTCCCTTTAACCAAAATACACCAATATAGGCCTACACTTTAAAACTGGCGATGTGAAGATTGAAATTAGGCCCCTATTACACAGAATCCAATTTTCTCAAAATAGTATGCCCTTATGTATATGGATGTCCAACCTGTCCTATACTTAAGTGCGCATGCAGTGCAGGTTTAACAAGATAGGCCGTCTTGAATGAAAACACACCCTTGACCGGCGTTTTTGTTTGCATTATCCTCAGAAACTGACGCATCAGTGCACGAGGCGAGGTTAAACGGTACGCCAGACATTGGACCGCTCATGTCTCCCTTTTATACTGTCAATAAAATTTCGCAGGGGACACATCCCCTTCCCCCATTTGCAGCAGTCTACACCAGGTTTGTAAACTCCGAAACAATCCAGCGTTGTTGAATACATGTATATACGTATCGACTGCATGTTTCGGGAGACATCTTCATCCAATCTCAATAATTCATCGATTGTGTCTGATTCATCGTGCAATAGTGTGACGTCATTCATTATTATCCGCTCATTCAGCCATTTAGGATTGCACAACTATGAGAAACTGACCGAAAATGACAGAGGCGGGAGGGGGTATTCTTGGAGCTTTTCTAAAGATGCTCTTTCCGGTTAGATATAGAGTTATTCACTGTTGAATCAGACATCAAACGAAAACAAGTCAACCGACGTTTGGTTAGTGAAGCATTTCTTCACAAAAATCGAATTATTGGCTGCCAGACAATATTTCGGCACTCACCGGGCGCGTTGAATTGTGCACAAAATGAAATTCCTTGTTCAGATAGTTGCACACGCCCCAACTTAAAATGAAGTATAGTTCGTTCGTTATAACAAAACATACACATTTTTCATTTTTTAAGAGCACACGGTATGCATCCTTATAATGCCATCCCTAACAAATTTTTAAACACATGGGCCTAAAATGCACACAGTTCTTATAAAACGGTTGTAACAATAAAAGAAAGTCTATTCCTTTTAAAAACATGTCAAACACTATGTGACATTATAACCATCGTTTTTATCTTCATCATCAGCAACGCTTAATCACATCTGTCCTCTATAGATCCTCTCCCCCAAATTACTGGCCCGTGACCACAAATTCCTATCATTGTCATAATGGGAGCAGCTTCCCACGAGATCATCTTTTCAACAGATCACAGAATTATGGACGATTTCCAGGAATTTGACCTGATTAGTACGCAGTTATATCGATCTGACACAATCGCCATGACCTGAAACTAATGTCTTTTCAGTATTACTGAGCTGGTTTTCAGTCTGGGATACATCCTGTAGTGCTTTCTTATGATCTGATGAAACTCGCTGCTGCGAAAGCAGTTTTTTTTTTCATATTTTCTTTTAATACCTAATATATTCATATTTATTAATAGGCCCTACATTAATCAAATAACAGGCTATAACTCGGCATTGTGTAGGATTTTTTTTTAATTGAAAAGGCTCTCTCATGGTTGCGTAATTACACACGATCTACTGTGAGATCCTCTATAGCACCACCTCGGAAATTATCGGTAGTAATTCTGAGAAGTCAAGCCGGTTTTTATTTCCCAGGTCAATGTCATTCTCAACACGACCCAGCTGGTTCGAGGTCTCGCGACCGAGCAAGAGTCACGTTTACGTCGTCTGTATATAATTGGCGGGAGTTGTCAAGGAGACCATGGTAACGTAATTAACCAAGATGCATATGTACATGGCTGTGAAAATGCTGATCGTGTTATAAAGTGTTTGCCATCACACCATTGCTATTATTAGTGCCTAAGACTGGTGGTTCTATTATAATAAATTGTTTGTTCTGAAAATTTGAGGGGATTTTAGTAGTGATTTTCATTTTTAATTTCTGTTTTCTAATTTTTGTTCACGTAAATAATTTTCAGGAAAGATACTTTAAAGTAAATACAAGGAAGTGATTCATTTAGTAGCGAGAGACGTGAAGTTCCCTTTAGTTTGGATCGTGTTTTTTTCATAGCTGAATACCTACATCATTCTTCTCATATCGTAAAAATCAAGAAATGCAGACTTGATATCAGGCGTTCGTAATATTTATTAGTTCATTGGATTAGGGATCGAGGGACAGCTAGATTCCAACCTAACAGTTCATTTCTGTGTCATGATTGTAAGATCCTTCTTAATAATGTTTGCATTACTTAATAATGTTAGCACATAATGTCATTTGACTAATGGTGCATGAATTCACCCGTGTTGTATGTCCTCAGTGAATCAGTCGTCTCGGCACTTAATGCGTCATCAAACGCATTAGGCCGCGGGAAGTCGGAGGAATATTATACCGTACGGGGTTTATTTTCAAACTCGTGGTGAAATCTCAACGTACTGCAATCTATAAACCATCAAGCGGTCCCATCTAAAGATAGCTACATGACGTCATTAGATTACGTCATTTTCGAGCCTAAGGTTGTGTTTGTGTACTGGTTTGTCCTGTTTTCGTTCAACTTGGGACAATTAATAGTATATACTACCGTGGCCTTAAGAATAAATAAAAAGACAATGCTCACTTTCATGACTAATCGAAGCACGAAAAAATCTTGGGAAATTCAATGCATTAACAATAGAAAGAAACAATTTACGCTAATCTTCACAGACT